TTGGCCGCACTGGAATGATGAAGCTTCCCACCCCTGGAATGAGCTTTCCGAACAGGAAATCAAAGGCAGCCCGTGGCTGGCGGAGCATGTGGAGTCGGTTTACCTCCACGCCAGCCCTGGTCTGGGGCACAGGCCCCTCTTCCACTGCCTCTCCTCTCTTGAGCACGTCCACCCATTGCTTTCAGGCTTCTTCAGGACCGAAACACTGCAGTATTTTTCTGTCTGTAATATGGAACAGATGGCCTTGGAAGAAAAAAAAACAGTCATGCAAAATATTTGTAAAGAAAAAATAACCCCAAGGCATTATATAATTGTTCCTCTTTATCTCATGTGGTTTTGCTGGAGCTCTTTTTTCTGATGTGAGCTCAGGATAGAAGGTGCTGGGGTCACAGGGAGAGAACTGATGCCGGCATCGTTCCCCACTTTCTTTTCTGAAACTGGCTGGATTTAATCAATAATGAAGATAATCTTTTTAAAGTTCTCTAAATGTGTCCGATGCTTTCAAAACTGTTGTGAACCCAACTAAAAGTGTAGCTTAGTCCTACCTTTATTGAGGAGTATTGTTATTTTATTCAGTAATTAATCACTTGCATAGCACGTTTAATCCCAAGATGCTTCTCATTCAGGGGGGACCCAGCCCCTCCTGAGAGACACACAGCAGCCACACTGCACAGCAGGTCAGGGGGAGACACGAGGAATCGTTTCACCAGTTAAAGTCAGACGAGACGTTAGGGAGGCCAGACTGTTAGCGTGGGTTAAGACTCATACTCGTCAGGACCTCGATTTAACATCCCAGCTGAAGAACTGCTCCTCTTGGAGCGCTGTACCGAATACTGGAATTTCTTGTCCAGGGGAAAGACCGCCACCTACTGGTCGGGGGGTCTCCCAACAGCCCCCTGGATTGACTGGGAGGTCTCCCATCCCAGCACCGGCAGGCCCAGCCTTGCTGAGCTTCTGAGATCTGACCAGCAAGGCGGCAAGATGGTAAAGCCATCTTGAAAATGGTTTCCAGTTCAGCTTTGAGACAGGTTTTCTTAGCCTTGAAACATGGACTAAACATATTTCATTATTTCATTGCTGGAACGCTAAACTCTTGATGGGGCTGCAAACAGTGGGTGTACGGAACAGGCTGACAGCTAACACACGGACCTTCGCAGAACATCCGAAATCTTGGAGCAATAAAGCTTTATCACAGCGATGATGTGGAAAACGGCTTCTTCCTGCTTATGCACTATCTGTAGTCATACTGGAAAGGATTTGCAAGACTCCCACAGTGGTGATTCAGAGAAGTAGCAGTAATATGTTGCATTAATATGGTCAGCAGCCATATCACCCTGCAACTCGCTACTGGCAGCCCACTGAAGCTCAGCAGCTGTGAGCCTGGTCAGCACCTGGATGGGAGACTCCTGGGAAAAACTAAGGTCTGCTAATATCAGGCTGCAGGAAGAGGTGTTAGTGGGGCCAATAGGGGCGCTCACCCTGCATCAGTGTGGGTCCTAATGCTCCAGTATAGTGACGGGGACACTATACTCTAAAAAGACGCCATCCTTCAGATAAGAAGTAAAACCGAGGTCCTCTCTCAGGGGATTCCCAGGGAATCCAAGGGCATTTCTTGAAAAGAGTAGGGGTGTTACCCAGGAGTCCTGACAAAATGTCCCCCTGGCCTTTACCAGTCATGGCCTCCTAATAACCCCCATCTCTGAGCTGGCTTCATCACTCTGCTCTCCTCCCCACTGAGAGCTGGTGTGTGGGGAGCGGACTGGCGCATCATCCAGGTGGGGCTGCACACTGGTGGGGGTGGAGGGGAGCCCCGTTATCTGTAAAGCACTTTGAGTGGAGTGTCCAAAAAAGAAGTGTATATTATTAATTCATATACTCAATGTAATGCACATGGATACAGTATGAACTTTCTTGAGGCTGGGGCCTTGCTCAGGTCTTGCTCTCCTGCTGTGAGGGGTTGTGGGTACTGCCTGCATGGCCAGAGAAGTCAAACACCTAGGCTTTCCTACACAGCAGCTGCACTTTCTCTGCTGGGTAATGAATGATGCATATGACTACAGTATTAAACAGCTCGTTGTCCAATCATATGGCATTTCCTCTCCTCTCATGCTCTGGAAAATTCCAGCTACCCATTAGAAGAGGAGTGCAGATATTGAAAAGTTACCCTTAAGATCACCTTGCCTCCTAAGGAGAGCAAGTGTTTTTTTTTTTTTTGGGTCTATTATACGTTTTTTTAAACATCTCATGGAGGGTGCTTGCTTGTGAAGCTTAGGTAGGTCCTCTGGCCTAAACCTGCCGCTTTAAGGAATGCAATTTTCCAATTAACTCGGTCAAAGTTTCATGGCAGTAAGGAAATGTGCTTACCGAGCTGTCGCAGGTAGGGGGCAGAAGAACACTTGGTTATGACAAGGAAAATTATTTAAAGGGGAGCTGCAGTCCCAGATCGGTTATTAAATCTTGGTAACACAATAAATTCATTCGCGGCATTGCAAAACTTTACAAATTCAAAATTGTGAGCTCTGTGAAAGCACTGCATGGTTGCCATGTTGTTGCAAATCGCTGGTCTTGCCACGGGCGAGAACGAGGGTCCCCACGAATTGCGGCGTGAAGCAGCCCTTCCTGCTCACTAGTCACTTAGATTTAGATTTAGTCCAGACCTCAGTAGTGACTTGTGTACTGTGATGTACGAGCAAATAAGGGCAGGTTGTGCAGCAGATATTTCACCACAGAAAGTTTCCAACATGATCTGCAAGCAGAGTTAACAAGTAAGTAGTATTTGTCGGCAAAATCATCTCGAAATTGGAAGCAATATTTCTATTGGATCGAAAGCGATGCATTCACAAGCCTGCTTGTTTACCATGCAATCGGGCCACAACATGCCACCAGATTTTTTGTTGCTGGGTTCTGAATCGCAGAACATTGTTGGTTTTGTGGTGTAAATTGGAGGTTTTACACGCTACTGTGCACATTGGACTTTTATTGTGCTTTGGAAGGCACTCATCAATGCCGATTCTTTCTAACCCTAAAATATAAAAATAGAGTTGCGGTTCTCCTTTAGTGTAGGATTTTGTGGTATTCCTTTTTTATTTTGAAATATTTAATGATAGTAGATGATTTTGAAAAAAATTAATTCTGAACACTACATCCCAGAGGATTGTATTTTGAAAGCAACATTGAAATGATCCTCTGCTATGTCCAAATGCACATTGTCACAACCACCTGCGAGGAACAAACTGCAAATCCCAACATCTCATATCATAACAACTCAAATACTGTTCTAGATTTTGTACTCCGCACGTGTCCTGGCATCTGTCCAGTTTGGGGATGTGCTGCTGTGCTGGTCTAACGTCCACTCGTCTGTGTTGGTTCACGTGTCCCTCATTCGGGGGCTCCTGTCTTGTCCTGTTCATTCGACTGTACGCAACGAGCACGTCCGGACATGGGTGTGTGCTGGATGTTTCTCTTTTCCAGGTTTTTAAGTGGAAAACATTTAAAACAATGTTGTGGAATTCCTCTCACTCAATAAGATGCCACTTCGCCTGCAACTTTTAAGAATTCAGACCAAGAACAGTTTACAACTTTTACCTTGCAAACATCTTTAACAGCTTTTTAGAAGGAGTTATTCAGAAATTAGGAAGGAGTAGGTTATTATTACACCTATTACACCAAACTTAAATAGCAAGAAATTATAACTTTCTTGGATGGCATTCCTTTATCCATTTTTAAGATAATGTAGATCTACAGAGCTCTAATGTGAATGGACAGTGTGGGTGTGGATTACATGGAGCAACACTTCAATACGTAAAACGTCACCTGTCAGCATTTCTTATTATCAGGAAAGGTTTGTACATCCTGTATAAGGACATACTGTAGGAAACGTTACTGTCAAGAGGATATTTGGTCCATCCACCTCATTTTGTAGCAGCTGGTTTGATCTGAGGCTCTCATTCAGTCGTGTCTTGAGAGAAGCCAGAGTATCTGCTGCAACAACATGGCTGGGTAGCTTGATCCAGACCCCCACCAGCCTCTGTGTAAAGCAGTACCCCCCAGTCCTTGGGTTTAAATGCACAACCACTTGATTTTCACATCACTTCTGCCCTCTGGCCCTTGTTTCTCTGTTTATTCTGTCATCAGAATGCCTTGGAGGACTTTGAATATGTGTAAGAGCTTGGTCTTCTACATCCAAGAGTAAAGAGCTACAGTTCCTTCAGCCTGTCAGTGCAGGACCTTCCATTAACGCCCAGAATGCATCTAGGTCCTCAGCTGCACTTCATAGACACTGGGACTTTAAAACTCCAGCAGCAGAGGATGAGTTAACGCTACTGTTTCGGTTCTTCAACAGAATGTAATTTATTCTTTATCAGTCTTCCACAAAAAATGAAGGTTTCTCCAAAATGAGGGTACATTAACTGGATCAGAAATGCAATAACAACTCTCTGACCCAGACAGAATCACTCATCTCTTCAGCCCTGTTTGTGTGTTATTGTTCCATGTTGTTTTTGGTAACTGTCAACAGCCAGACCATTTGAAACCTTTTTGTGGCAATGGTTTTGTCTGGTTGTACTGGTTAGTACTGTAATATTGTTGATAATCCCAATCCTGCCATTGCTGCTGGGTGGCTCACAGTGAAATGGCACTAGAGAAAAAATATCACAATATTTTTCTTTTGTTTTGAACCATGTGGTTATGTGACCCGTGGAAGCAGCTCGTTTGTCAGCTGGCTGCCCTCAGCAGGAGTAGTGTGGGTCTCCGAGTGGCTCAGCCGGCAAGAGCTGGGGTTTCCCACGCAGTGGCACTCGATCATCATGTTTGGGGAACTCTAGCGCCCCCTGTGGCCTCCTGGGCCCTGTGGCCTCCGGAATTGTTAGGACAGCACAACTGGCTCTTCCTGAGCAGGCAGGGGCGCTGAGTGAAACCCAAGGCCTCTGAACGCCGCGCTGGCTGCGAGTCCTCGCGCTGGGAGGCCTGAGTGAAGCACCTGTGCTGTGCTCTTGATGCAGGACCCGGAGAGAAAGGGCTTCATGAACAAACTCTACGCCATCCAGGATGTGTGCGTCAGCGTGCAGAGTGCCCTGGACGACGTGGCCTCCTACGGGGAGAGAATAAAGAAGTAAGTCCCTCGGCAGAGCCCCAGGAAACCCCAGATACATGGATACTTTCTTGATCCCGTGAGGGAAAGTGCAGGGCAACAGCAGCTTAACACAGACAACACTGCACAGTGTGACGAATGATACAGTAATAATAATGCAATGCATACAATACAATCAGTACACTCAGTGAGAAGTGCACTAAGAAGAGTTACCCACAGCCCAGAACACACAAAGAACAAACCAGAACAGAACAGTACACAAAAAGTTGTATTGCACAATATAAATATAAATGTATTGCACAAGTCCCTGGCATATATTGCACAAAAACGGTTGTAAACGGGGAAAAAGAAAAAGACTGTCCCCCTTTCCCCACTGCTGTAAATGAGGCATCCCTGGGGCGCCCAGTCGTTGTCTGCCTGTCTTGCACTGGGCATGCAGCCTGGTACCTGAACCCAGAATGCATTGGGAGGGCAGCCTGGCACCTGAACCCAGAATGCACTGGGAAATCAGGCATCCTGTGGTGGCTCACTGCCCAGTGTTGTGTCACATCGCCTGTGTGCTAAAGATAACCTGAGAACAAGTGGAGAGGTTTAGGCTCCTGTTTTTAATTCTTCTTCGCAGTACCTTCAACTGGACTGTGCCTTTCCTGAGCTGGCTGGCCATCGTGGCTCTCTGCGTCGCCATCGTTATCTTATACTTCATTCCCCTTCGATACATCGTCCTCGCCTGGGGTGAGTGAGGCCAGGGGAGGGATCTCTCTCCTTGCTGTTTTGTTCATCCTCTCGGTATTTTTGCTCTGCTATACAAATCTTTGCGTAAAGACCTACAGTATAGCTACAGTATTTTATTCTTGAATCTTCTGTTTCTCTGCCCAACTGCTGCTGTAGCCATAATGTTTGTCATGTCACTGAAAGTTACGACGTAGAATGAAATGCTCCACAATTTAAGATGTTCTGGTAAACAGTTTATTTTTTGTTAGAAAACTGGATTATATAATAATCAAAATATATGTATTCTTTACTGTGGCCATGAGAACTGTTCATGTACATGAGAGCTGTCTAAAATCCCCTTAATTGAGAGGCACCTGGGGAAAGTTGAGTTTTGGGTGACCCAGGCTTGCTTCAGACTTGATGTATCGGGGGCAAAGTTTGGATGGTCAGCTGTGGCAGTCAGTGGTCAGTTATCCGTTGTACTTCCTGTGCAACGTGGCTGTGCTGGAGCCAGGTCAGAGGAACGTGGCTGTGCTGGAGCCAGGTCAGAGGAATAGAACGCTCTCATGAGGGAATATTTTAAGATAAGATCACTTTATTGGCCATATACAATTTCTTGTATGAGGAATTTGTCTTTTCGCATACCCCAGCTTGCTCTCCATGAGACACACAGACAGGGTTTGTGCCCTTCAGGTGCTGACGAATCCCTTTTCCCCCAGGTGTTAATAAATTCACCAAGAAACTCCGCGACCCGTATACAATCGATAACAACGAACTGCTGGACTTCCTCTCCCGAGTTCCTTCAGACGTACAAGTGGTAGGTGCTTTTGTCTTCGTCTCGTGTGGTGTGGAAAAAGACTCGTCACCTTCAAGAAAAGGGGTGGGATGGGATTTCTCCTGCTCAGTTATTTTGCCGTCTGCTGTGGCTGTCTGTGCTTCTGCAGTCGTTTCCGTAGCAGGACAAGGTGGTGGAGTCGAGTGCACGAGCTGACAGCTGCTGTGGTGTCCCGTGCTGAGGGCAAGGACACGTCTCTCAGTGCAAACCTGGACTTGAAGCAGATTGTACCTGATGGGACAGAACGTGGCTCGACTCTCCCCCCGACTGCAGCTGTTTTAGTTTTACAGGACCTTTATTTTAGCATGTTTGTTTGACCTTTTTTGTCCTTTAAGCTCATGTGCTGACTCACATCACACAATGTTAAAGTTTAAGCTTGTTTTGTTATTTTAACAATAGTTTGTTCATAACTTTTGACAAATAATTGAATAATGGAGTAGAATCGTAGAGGGCTGACATGGAATCATGCCAGGTACTGCTTTTAACAAAAGTGCAAAAACACAAGTACCTGTACACAGTGAGTCTGAATGGAGTGGCTGAGCATGCTGTACAGTTACTCGTTTTAAATTGAAGACAAACTTTTGAACATTAAATAATCCGATGATGTAGCTCAGTTCGATGGAGTAATGAGAGCAGTTTTGCTGTGTCATGAGAGATGTGAGAAGAATAAGAAGCAATGGCTCATGTAGCAGGCAGAGAGCAAAATGTTTAATTGATCTAATTCATGCCATTGCGGCTCGAGCAGCCCCACCAGGTTACCCACCTTAAGACCCCAAGAGTGGCATGGCCAGCTCGCTCCACACTGCTTCAGAGTCTACAGCCGAAAAAAAAAAAAAAACATTTTGTCTTCCGGACTCTGGGTTATTTGTTCTGTGGTTACAAATACAGCATCTTCTTTTGTCCTTGTGTCTGTGCCAGGTTGGAGAATAAACCAGGCTTGAACAGTACTGTATATCTGAACTGGTTTTGAGATGCATAAATCGCAGCTCCCTGCAGCCTTCCTGTGCTCCAGACCACAGTGTCTGACTTGCCCAAGCTACCCGTCTGAAAATTACCTACAGAACCTCCCAGGCCCAGCCAGCACCCCTGTCCTGGGCTGTCGGAGTTGCTGCAGCGATGCATTGTGTGTGTCAAAGCAGCTGCTTTATTGATTATCAATACAGGACAAAGGCGTAGCTGTGAATGTAACTTAGGGGTCAGCCCTGTTCAAGAAGAGCCCAAATCCTGCAGCTCATAGAGATCACCCACACCCCTTCAAATGATCAATTTGTAAAGGCCTGGAGCAAAAGTGACTCTTAATCAGTTCAGTAAGTTAATTGGTTCAGCTGGGTCAGGAGTTGACCGCTGTGGACCCTGAGGTCAGCCCAGTGTTGGTGTTGTCTTGTCATGTGATTGCCAAACTCCATGATTGAACAGATCAGCTCTTTCGCTGGTCAGAACAGAGTTGTTCCCAGCGTTTCCAGGAATCTGAGCGTGACCCTTATAAGACCCTCATAAGATGGAAAACGAGGCAGCAATACTCCAAGAATGCCTCCTCCCTGAGCACTCGCATGGGGAAGTGTCTCGCTAACTGTCCTGGATGTAACAGCAGCTGTACTGTACAGTATTATTTTCATACTCTGCTCAGGCTTGTATGTTAGTTTTAAAAGTGAATTTACTATTCTGCTTAATTAACTGCGCACAGAAAATGCTAATTGTTGCCTGAGAAGCAGTTTTAAGTAGAGGTAGAATTATTTTCTGCAGCACTATAAAAAAAGATTTACTCGTCTCATCACTGTTAAAATATTTATCTTATCTCCTCCCAAAGAGACTGTGCATCTAATTCTCCATGAGCATCTCATTCAGAAGCTGTAGAACAAGAACGGCACGGCAGAGAATAAAATAAAGGATAACTATCCTTTAAAAACAACATAAAAGAACCATTTAATGTTTTTTTTTTCCAGTTTTTCGATGCTATCTGCTGTGTGTGATTTGACACCAGAATACAGTGTTTTTTTTCATGACATCCCTGAAACAGCCCCTCACAAACAGCTCTCTTGTTTGACTGGCACACTTCAGTTTTCTGCTGCCTGAATGGTGCTCCAGTCACATTCCACACAAACTAAAATTGTTATCTCAACTCCAGAATCATTACTCGTGAACAGATTATGGAGTGTCATTTGATGGCAATAATAAACACTACAATTCAATTCACCTAGAGAATATCTTTAAATAGTTCAACAAAGTACTGTATCTCATTATTTTAAAAGTTTGTAGGTGTTTTGTAAAAACCATTAACAGGCTCTGCTCAGATCTCAGAAGCTCAACGAGGCTGGGCTTGCTGGTAGTGGGATGGGAGACCTCAAAGTCAGTCCAGGTTGCTGTTATAAATTGTGTTGGTAGACCAGCTGACCAGTAGAACAGTAAGTGGCACCCTCCCCTCTGGGCAAGAATTTCCAGGGCTGCTGGTGCAGAGTGGCCTCTGTGTGTCTCCCAGGTGGGGCTGCTGGTGCAGAATG